TTTTTTTTTTTTTTTTTTTTTAAGACTGTGCTCTCCCTTGCTTTATCGTCCTGAGAACAATTCTGGTGGAAAATATAAACATATTATTTCTGGACCTCACTCTTAAATAAACAGCTTTAGAATTGTGTACAGGTAGCTCCTTGGTTAAAAGTGAATCAGAAAAAAATAGAAAAAACATTTCATTTCCAAATTACGTTTAGTCTTAGTGTTAAAGTAGGTGACTACTGTCCACCAAAGAGGCATGCCCCTTGTCTCTTGCTCCACTGGAGTTACTCAAGAAGACCTTGGTAATTCTCAAATATCTCAGTGTAATGAAACAGCTACAACATCTCCAAAGGATGAAGTTTCTTTCAGAAGTGTGGGATTCTTTCCTCCAGAATTTTCCTGAACATAATTGGTAAACACTGTCCTCTTAAAGCTCAGTGTATTCTAGCCTTTCATGGTTATAAATGATTCACAATATCTGCATTAATACAATTTTCATTTACCTTCTTAGAATGTAACAACTTTCGAGAATATTTTAATCTTAATGCACAAAGAACACACAAGATTTCTTTGTCTTCAGCAGAAATCATAAAGGCTGTGTCTCTTAATCAAACACCCTGTGGACATTCTTGTAGGTTGGGTCTGAAATCTTTTAGGGTATCCAGTTAAATGACTGTGGAGTCACAAGCAGTGGCTGGGGGTTAATGTGTTCGCATTTTCCTTCTTTCTGTTTTATTCCCAACAGGAAAGGAGCCTAGGGTAGAAGTTCTCATTCGGTGCCAGCTGGAAGCCGTGTCTGACATTAGCACCCATCATGCTGTCGTCATGCACTGGTGCGTTTAAAGGCCGTGTGTGGCTGGGAGTGAGACACCTACCACGTGGACCCCAGGTGAAGGATGACGGCCACAGAACAGCTTTCTTGTAATGAAAGCAGAGGCAGACTTCCTCAGAGTGCAAACACGGATGATATGGGCTTTCCGCCCTAACTGAACACTAAGCAATGCTTCTGATGCAGCACCCCCAAAGGAGGGGGGTAAGTTACTGCAAGAGAGACAGTCTTCAGCAGAGTAATGTGTTATAGAGCCCCGTAGTGGAAACCTGACCTAGACACTATCCTTACAGTGCTCACTGTCTACAGCTTAGTCTTGCCACATACCTGTCCCTCCAAAGCGCGACCCGTACCCCCAAACCCCCGGCTACTGTTGCAGCGATGCTGAGCTGTTCTTTACTAGAACAGACTTCAAACTAAACATATATTCCCTCTGTGTTCGTAACAACTCTGTCAAATTATAGGGAAGCTGAGTAATACTAGCATTTAAAGTAGGAATTGTGCAAGACACTAGAACCTCAATTAGTCATCATGCACTACAGTCACTAAAAGAAATAATAAGCAAACAAAATGCTCACGAGATCTGAGGTCCTTCACTTTGTAACAATAAGTTTACATCTTATCCTTTGTTGGGCAATCACATCAAGTGCCTTTTACAACTTCAGCAGTTTTAAGTAGTAAGGTTAAATGAATTCATTTATAGCTAAAACTGCTATAACCTACCTTAAAATCAAGATGTTACAATACAAACTGACTTAAGAATTTGATTTTTAACGTTGTCAGTTGGATATTAAATACTGAAGTGCATGAATAAAGTTATAATAAAGAACAATATGTATAAGACATTTAAGAAAATATAATAGATCATAAATTATGGGCAAAGACACACTTATAGACATTTCCAATATATACATTCCTTCACAAATGTAACCAAAGTATAAACATAAAATAATTATCTATTTCTACTCTTAAATCAATACAGTAAAATTTCCAGTGTGGTCCAGGTTACATTTTTTCTTTCCAAAGAAAAACAAAACTGGCAAAAATTTACAATAGAATGCACTAATATCACCAGATATTTACTAATTTAGTCTTCTAGTATTAGGAAGGATTGGTTGAATTTTGAAGTTCATTAATAGTGCCTCCTGGTTTCCAGTGCTATTAACCAAGAGCAAAGAACCAGATATCTTAGTCTATTAACAAGTACCTGGTGTGGCAGTTTCATTATGATAACCCAAATGAAGACAGACAGAAAAACATAATAGTGACTCTGGTCATCAAGCACAGCATTACTCTATGTCAACATCTTTTAGGACTGAATGAATGATCTGAACAGACAATTCTCTGGTACAGAAAAGGAGACAGACTTTGGGAAAGAACAGGATTATAAATTTCTAGCTTAGGTAATTCCAGAACTCAGATATTAAAAAAATAATAAACAATAAACTCATAATGCTGAATATGAGAAATGGGGCTATCCAGGGAAGACTCCTTGTAGTCCCCATTAGGTGCAGGCCTTGAGAGCCATTGCCAGGCTGTGTGTGTGGAGTACTTGCAGTAGAGAAGTGGACGTGCCGGAAGCACAGCAGAGAAGCCCACCATACAGGAAGTGAGACACCTGTCCAAAAACTCTCATGGTCTCAAGTCTTACTTCGAAACTTGTCCATTAGAAAGTGATGACCTCATTTTTGGAGCTCATGCATCGAAGAGAATGAGAGTAAGTGTAAGAAGCAAAACAAAAGACATTAAAAAACACCCTCATAATTTGAAATTTCTCAAGATTGACTTTATGTTCTCCTCCTTCTGCCCCAGTATCTTACATTCAACTCAGTTTGGTCAAATACCAAATTCCTTAACACTGGCTTTAAAATAAGCAAAAGTTCTCCCACTGCTACAACGTATCCCACATACTGCCTTAAATAAACTGTTTAGTAGAAATCTCTAGGGTGTGGAAGAGAATGGCCCAGGTAAACCATTCAGAATATCTCTAAAATGTAACTGATGGCTCTCCTTTAAAGGATGTATTGTATGTTAAAAACAAAACAAAAAACCAGTTCAGTGGTTGAATGTTACTCAAATCTAAATTTTCTCTAACTGGTATTTCTGTTTTGCTTAAAAGTGTGTTTGTTGAAACACTGAGCTCACTTGGGGAATTTTGAGTAGAAAATATGTGACAAGTTTCTGGTTGTGTCATAGGCAGGTAAGGACCAGCCAGAATGTTCTCCAGGAGAGGAAACCTGAAAAAGGTTGGTTTGCTTAAAAATCAATTTCCTGTTCATTTTGTTGGGGGAGAAGGGGAACTGCCATTGTGTTTGCTGGTGCTGCTAAAACACTTAACACTCAGTGGTAGCAAAGTAAATAACAGATTCCAACCTGCCACGGCTGCATTAATGTCTGACTTTTTCTTCTTTCTTCAGCAATATCCAGAGAATAAATGTCACCCTTAGAAACCCATGGTATTGCCACACACACGCACACGCTCTTAAGGCTTTTGCTTTTTTGTATAAAGAACTATAATTTGTTCTCTCTTTCTGATGCCCAGCAAGTAGAACAGTGTGCTTGCTCTTTCCCTCCATAGGTAATTATGTGGCAAGACACCCACATTTCCACAATGGGACTAGCTGGCTCTCCAGATAGAACTGAGGAGCCTTTCTTTTCACCGACTAGATCCTGCAGCCCTAGAAACGGTCCTAGATCTGATGACAGTTGCCCAGGTTCAGGATCCCACCCTGACCATTCTAGGTGCTCCTTCAGCAACACCAGGGGGTGCTGTGCTCAAAACGGCAGATTCTCCAAGTGGCACAAATAACCTAGCACAGCACAGGGTGTTGGTACATAGGAGAGGAGACTTAGTGACTTTGCATCTCTCATAAATGAGATCTCTGGTTTGCTAATCAACCAAAGGTGGCTTGGGGGTTATTTCAGGAGGATAAATTTAAGGGTGCATTTTATGATTGCAGAAAATGCAGTGATTCAACACACAGTTCCTCAGTCTGCCTAGAGCGGCACTACCCCGACATCATTCTTTCTTCATTCTTTGGAGAATGGGACAGGCAGGAAGAGGTGGAACTTGTCTATTACTGCTCACCAGCGCCCTCTGTTGACGTGGATGTCATCTTCTCCGCCTTCTTGAACTTCCTCTGCATTTGCTCTTGTTCCTTCCTCCTTAGCTTTTCTCTTTGTTTTTCCATTTTCTCTTGAGACTTCCGAGCCTTCTCTAGAGACACCTTCATTTCCTTCAGTTTTTTTTTGATCACTGCCCGATCCTGGGATGATGTCATGCCAAGAGCCTAGGAAGGAAACATAGACAGAAACTGAATTTGAAAACTATTGACCCTTCCACTTACGGTAAGGTTAATATCACAATGTGTTCAGACTCATGAAGCAATTCAAACAGAGAGAGAAGAGATAAGAACTGATTACATTTGCTACATGGGATGCACTGAGGAAAAATCTGAACACAGTGGGGATCTTGTTTCTTTGTCCTTTGAAGTCCCTTGCAAAGTGTACCCTAAACCTCATTAAGAAAATGCTTCTCAAATTGGTAATGAGGGAATGAATGAAAATGTGATTCTACTTCTCCAACCTTTGAGCTGTAGACCTTTAAGGGAAGAATATCACTATCCTCATCGATATTTTCAAATGGTAGGGGTGGGCACCTGCTGCCACACAGGGCTCAGAGAAGGGCATGAAGAATTGACATGGCTCGCTTTCTGCCAATGTATTCATTTACAATGAGAACCAAAAATGTCTTTGGAGCAAGAATGCTCATGTCAGCATGACCAGCCCTTCTCTCCCTGTAGGCAGGCCTATAAAGGAAGGGTGATTATAATGAGGAGGTTGCTCCATCAGCTTGGAATTCAAAACAAGAGGAGTTGGTTGTGTACTTTAAATGCTTCATGACCTTCAGAACCAACAGCGGGATGCATCCATCTCCCCAACAGGGACAGCTTTGTCAATGGGGCCTTCATATTCACGAGCTATTGATTGATCTCTAACCTTTTCAAGACTGTCAAGAGACACTCATCTACCCATCAGCCCAGGAGGGGGCTGAGGCAGTAGGGAGGCTTGCCTGGAGCTGGCTGGACACTGCGTTTGCTCTTCTGCCATCTGGGTTTCTAGGAGAGATGGGCTGCACAAGTGGAGATGAGAGTGCAATGGGCGGGCGGGGAAGGCACAGCCCACACACATCTGGAGAAGAAAAGTTTTGGGGAGACCATAATCTCAGTTTTAGAGTGGTGTGCCAGAGAGCGGGGTATGGAGGGAAAATGAACCAGCAAGGAAGATTCATGGGTCCGGGTCTCAACACTAATGTGGTGAGAAGTCCACACTTGCCATTATTAAAACTCATACTACCTGGGAAGTAAGTAGAGTTAATACATGGACCATGTGTGGCCAGGTGAAGCAATGGAGTGGATCCCTAGCTCTCCTCGCCAGTGGCCTACCATCTGAATCAGAGCTCGGACTTTCTGAAACTTCCTTTCCTACCAAGAAATTAGATATCATCCTTTCTGCTGGCTGTTGATGAGAATTACCTCTCAAATATTCAGGATGCTCTTATCTAATGAAAACATTTTAGGTACTGTGAGTCATATAAATCATACCTGGTAACCTAACACAGACATGTAATTCTTTACCTTAAGTTTATTTCCATCCAACTGCAGGAGCTGCTCTCCAGTGATGTTTTGGGCACTGAATTCAGATACATACTGCTCCAGACTTAGGCTCATTAACCAGTGAGAAACCTGCTGCACACTCCATTCATGAACGGCCCGACTCTGATACTGACTGTGTTTGGGAGACTGTCCATCATCAAGGATCTGAGGTAGGAATTTATGCATTGTTGTTAAAGGACCAAAATGCTATGTCTATGTCTCATATTACGCTACCAAAAGGAATGTCTTAACTTACTAGAGCCACGCTCATTTTAAAACCATAAAATGATAATGGTTCTAGTTCTGTTAAAAAGAGATACACTTATCTACATGGTTTTAGTTATATGGAAATTTTTAAATTCCCCAAATAAAGTACCACTATTTAGAAAGTTTAATATGGAAAAAAAATCCTCTAACGTTGAAAACTCTTACATTTAAACACTCTGGAAATATGTGATGTAGAAAACAAATATTTAATAAATCTCTTCATGTGATGTATCACTCAGATCTTTTTTTTTTTTTTTTTTTTTTTTTTTTTTTTGGGTT